TGGTCTTAAGCCACGGAGGCCGAAGTGTACTTTGTAGGTTTCGGAGGCCCTTGAGCAGTCAGAGGCTTTGGAGAGGAGCAGAGGACGGTGGTAGGGGACGCGCCAGCCTTGCCCAGCACGCCCTGCGTTTGAAATCGGGATGCAGTTGGCTCCCCAGCATCCTGCTGTGGTGTTCACCTGGAGCCATAGCCATATCTGTGTTCATCAGCGATTTAGTGAACACAGGACTCACATGCTCCCCCCTTCCCCCTCCCCCCCGCGCGTCCTAGCATAACCATGGTGTGCAGGGTGTCCTGGATTTGCAAGCACCTCCACCCGCTAACTTGTCTCCCAAGTTGGTAGTGCTCCGCCCCTTGCGCTGCAGGCCCCACCCCTGTGGTCTCAGGAGCCCTCTTGCTTTAGGACACACTTTACTGTCTTGTTTGCTTACCACTAACTGTCCCAAAGGATCTGGCTTTCCAAGTCCCTATTCACACGTTCAGATCTCCAACAAGCTAACATGACTTATAAAAGAAATCACCTTATGTACCTTCTTCTCTCAGCACGCCTGTCTCTTAGCACTTTCCCAAATACTGACCAGCATCTGTAAGCCATCCCAGAGGGGGCTCTCTGGTCACCAGAGCCCACTCAACCTAAGCCAACCTGGCATAGAGCTAAAGAAGCGCCAGGGGTCTGGCCCACGCTGCTATTTGTAACAAACATACAAGGTCCTGCGAAGTGATAGCCTCTGTCTTAAGAACTGTGGGGCTGCTGTGTGTTGTCTTTTTGAAAATAGGAATATACTAAGTTTAAAAGCTACATTTATTTATTTATTTATTTATTTACTTACTTATTTATTTATCTATCTATCTACTTGTTTATTTATTTAAGGGTATGTGCGGGTATAGAGGCCAAACGCCAGCTTTTGGGAGTTGGTTCTCTCCTCTCACCATGTATGTCTGAGGGATGGAACTCAGGTCATCAGACCTGATGGCAAATGGCTTTACCCTTTGAGCTATCTTGCTGGTCCATAAATGCACTTTCCCTCTCCTTATGCTAAAAATGCTGCCTGCGTAGCAGAAGAACAAAAATGAAGTGTTAAGAAAGGGACAACCCAGGGAACTCATCAACCATGTAGAATTAAGACTGGGACCTTTGTTCTGTATTGCTCTAGACCAGTGTTGTGTGGACACATACATGCTTTGCTTAAAACCCATGAGGATTGTACTGTGTATTTCTTTTATTAATCAACCTTTTCATTTATTTATTTATTTTTACTATGCATCATTTTTGTAAACTGCGATCCATTTTCCATGTAAGTAAGCAGTATCCCTTTTAATGGCGGTGTAACATAATCCTGCACTGCTGTGTGCTGGATGCCACAACTGGTATTCCCTCTCTGGTCAGCATTTAGGTGATTTTCAATGTTTTATTGCTATGGAGAAGCCCACAGTGAGCATCCAGTTTCACACATCCTTGTCTGGGTCCCCAAGCAGCAGAGGCTGGGTTGGGTATAGAGAGGTGGCCCTTCAGGAAGCGGGGGCTGGCTCACATGGTCAGTCAGCATTAAGCAGATCCCTTGATTTCCTCGGCCGCAGAGGTTAGAAGTGGATCTTGATCTGTTCTGTGGGGTTCTCTGCCCACCCCAAGATCAGCGCCTGCCACCACTGTGTGCTGCCCACACGCAGGCCATTATTTTAGTGTGAGTGTGGAGGAGAGACGCATCAAATAAGGACTAAGGATCAATTGTTTTCAGTACTTGTTAATTTTTTTGTGACTGTGCTAAAATACTGTGACCAAGGCAATGTATAGAAGAAATGATTTATTTGAATATAGGGGACCAGAGAGATTAAGTCTGTCACGGCAGGGAGGCATGGCCACAAGCAGCAGCATGGCAGTAGGAATAGGAGGCTGAGGGCTCATATCCTTTACCTTAGGAAGGAAACAGAGCAAAACAGAAGTAAGCGAGGCTCTTTAGACTCAAAGCCGGCTCCTAGGAACATACTTCCTCCAGCAAGGCCCTACCTTCTAAACACCCAAAACAGCGACACCAAGTGGACACAAGTGTCAAGATGCCCGAGACAATGGGGGACATTGCTTATTCAAACCACTGCGCAGTACTAGGGGTTGAGTCTAGGGCTTCAAAAATACCGGGTGATGGCTTACCACTGAGCGGTAAAACTCATGAATTGCCTTTTAAGGAATATTAGCCCTAAGGATAGCCACTGAAGTTGTACCGGTTGGGACCCTGTAGTGTAGCGGAAGTGCTCAGCTGTTGATCTGCTAGAACCTTCGCTGTCTTGGCTTGCAAAGTGTGTTTCCACAGTGTTTGTTCCCCCGGCTCTTGCGTGTGGCAGCGATTGTGCTGGTAAACACCCTGGAGTTTCTTAGTGTGGCTGGCTTCCAGACTGCGAGGGAAAAGGCCCCGGGGGTGGGGTGTAGATTGGAGGCACATGGCCTCCGATTTGGGAGCATTTGTGGGTCAAGAGGAGGGACTGCTTAAGAGCCTTGGAGCCCCGGATGTCAGAGCTTTGGGGGACAAGCAGGATTGCTTGGGGCCCCGGTGGAGGTGAGGTCCACGGAGGAAATCTTGGATTAGTCTGTGAAGCCTGGAAATGACCTCGTCTGAGCTGTTTGGAATTTAGAATATGTGTGTGAACCGAGTTACATTCACACTAGTAAGCCTAGGTCTGCATCTCTTGAAGGCTGCACTTTTGATTCCCAGTGCCAGGTCTGGCCAGGTCAGTCCCTAGGTGGTGTCAGTCACTTTTCATTGCTGTGACAGAGACTGTGACAAAGGCAACTTCATGGAAGAAAGATGCTTTGGGGCTCATGGTTTTGGGGGACACAGTCCAACAAGACAGCCAAGTCCAGAGCAGCCAGAGCAGCTTGGTCTGTGACAGTGGCGGCTGGTGGGACTGCTGTTTCTCATGGTGCTAGCCAGGAAGTGGAGAGCCTGGGCTGGAACCCCGAGGGCTGCAACCCTCTGGCCCCCCATCACTGACCCACCTTTATCAGCCTGGCTTCGTGCCCGAAAGGCTTAACAACCTCCCCCCACATATCATCAGCCTGATTAAACACACGATTTAAACGAGAACAAAGCATAAATCTAGGGCAGTGGTTCTCAACCTTCCCAATGCTTTGACCCTTTAATATCGGTCCTCATGTGGTGGTGACCCCCCCAACCATAAAATTATTTTCATTGCTACTTGATAACTGTACTTTTGCTACTGTTATGAATCATGTTGTAAATATCTGTGTTTTCTGATGGTCTTAGGTGACCCCTGTGAAAGAATCGTTCGACCCTCAAAGGGGGGGGGGGTCGTAGCCCACAGGTTGAGAACCTCTGATCTAGGAGGCAAGGAACCTGGGTGCCAGATGCATCCGGGGATTGTGTTTGATATCAACTTCATGCCGCTCTGTCACCACTGTCCCTGTCTCCACTGGGGATGAGAACTCCTCACACCTGGAGCAATCAGCATGGCAGTGCAATTATTAATAGTCATAAAACCCATTTGCGGCCCGCTCCGTTCCCGGCGATTGCTCTGATAGGCTGGGCAGGCTTGGCGAGCTAAAGCTTCCCGACTTACCTCCTTTCTTTGTCTTTTTCAGGGGTTGGCAAAACAACCTTGATCCAGAAAGCCAGCGAGGTCCTGCAGTCCTCCGGGGTGCCCGTAGATGGATTTTACACCCAAGAAGTCAGGCAGGGCGGGAGGAGGATCGGATTTGATGTCGTCACCCTGTCTGGCTCTCGGGGGCCTCTGTCCAGAGTTGGGTACTGGTGTTTTGTTTCTTTGCGGTTTTGTCTCTAGCCTGTGCTGCCCACATCTTGTGTGAGTGTGCCTGCATGTGGAGCATGTGTCCGTGCAGAGGCGGAAGGAGGCCATCTGGTGTCCTGCTCTGTCACTCTGCCTTCGTCCCTCCAGACAGGCTCTCTCACTGAACCAGGAGCTCTCGCATGAGGGCCAGCAAGCCCAGGAAGTCTCCTGCCTCCCCTCTACAGCACTGGGCCTACAGGTACACATGGCCATGTCCAGATTTTTACATTGGTGCTGAGGATTTGAACTCAGGTCCTCAGGGGTATGGAGCAAGTGTTCTTGCTGGCTGAGGCATCCTCCTGTCCTGGGAGCTTCTTTCTTACTGTGATTTCCCTACAGCCGACTCCCCTAAAAGCCGTCTGTGGGGCCCATTTATGTTGTTCTGCCCATGATTGGGCTGAGGGTCTCACTGGACTCGGGGATAGCCAGGTGACCCTGCCTATCCTGGACTTCAGAAATTTCTCAGAGAAAGAAAATAGACCATCCTTGGAAAATGAGGATAAAAAAAAAGTCCTGTTTGATTTAAAACTTCGGCCACAAATTGTACACATTTCTCATGTGATTCTTAGCTCTGTGTCTAGTGCCGCTAATATTTACCTTATTGTTCTTTGGAGGTACTTACAATTGCACCCAGGACTCTCCCATATTATGCAAGCCTCTTTCAGGTAGCTATCTTTCCAGCCCTCTGTTTAATTTTAATCTTAATTTTGTTTTTGTTTTGTTTTGATACAAGGTCTTGCTATATGGCCCCGGCTCGCCTGGAACTCACAGAGATCCACCTGCCTTTGCCTCCTAGTGCTGGGATTAGAGGTATGTGCCACCATGCCCAACACCCCCTATTTGCTTTTTATATTGAGAAAGTCTAAGTTGCCCAAAGTGGCATTGAACTCAACTCTGGCCAAAGAAGAAGTCCTTACACTTTCTGTCCTCCCGCCTCCGCCTCCTGGTTAGTTGGGACGATGACAGGCCTGCGCCATCATGCTCTGGCTGAGACAGGCTCAGCTCTTGTGCTGTGCTTGTGGGCTCATTGGAGTTGCAGGGACTTCACTGGTCCACTGCAAGACTGGCTTGCAGAAGCAGTGCTGACGTTCTTCAAGGCCCTGGTTTCAGGAGAGATACCCCAGCGGGCCCATGCTTGCACACTCCCACCTTTTGTATGGGTGATTGTTGAGGGTGTGTACAGAGAGCCAGTGACTCAGCCGATCAGCCAAACCCCAGAAATCAATGGGGAATCCGCATCAAACACTCTTTATTTTTTAGGTCACAGCCTCCATCTGGAAAGCCTGAGTGCCGAGTTGGGCAGTATGTGGTGGACCTGGCTTCTTTTGAGCAGTTGGCACTACCTGTCCTAAGAAATGTGAGTATGCATTTTCTGTTTCAAAAGCCCATTGGCTTCTGCATTGTGGGATTCGCTGGCCACTTGAACACAGTGGCTTTTTTTTTTTTCTTGTAATTAGGTCTCAAAGTTTTAAAAGTCTTCCAGCTACTGAGCCTTGCTAAGGATAGGCACTCTACTTTGCTGTCACTCAGAGCGGTCACATGCCCAGAGAATGTGTAAAATATTCCATGTTAGGAAGGCATT